GGGTGTGGGTGGGTGTGGATGTGGGTGGGTGTGGATGTGGGTGGGTGGGTGTGGGTTGGAGTGTAGGTGTGAATATGTATCCATAGAGCTACCACACGCATACCCACACCCAATTTTGATTTCAATTGAAATTGACTGTCTTCATGCTTCTTTTCGTTCAGATTAGGAGAATATCTTTAGAAAAATGGAAGCAGTCAAACTACTCATAAGAGTCCTTTTTTTTCGTTCCTACCAGGTGGAAAATGGTGCTTTTTTTAAATTGCTGAAATACAGTACTGCAATGCATTACAACACTCAATTCCTTTCTTTTTCGTTCCTTGTTTACAACTCGACTTTGATTTGCGACTATTTGGAATTCGTCATTAAACGTCAATAAACAGAAGCACATTTAGCGTCGCGAAAAAATTCAAAAAAATGATCCTTGCTGCATCAAGAGAAAAAATTATTTCTGCTTGAATTAAAACAAACTCTCTTCATTTTTCTTTTCTTACCAAGTGGCAAATAAATTCAAAATGAGTGAGAAAAAAACAGATGCAATACTTTCTACAACTACAATGGCTCCTACAACACATGCGACGCCATCATCGAGCATCGTGGAACCAACGCCATGCATGGCCAGAAGTTATATCATTGTCTGGATCGATGAGAGCATTGACCCAAACAGTGACAAATATCAAAATACACTTACGCAGCTGCAAAATGTGATCGATGAAGTGTATATTTTCAATCAACCGGATGAAGGTGTAGATTTTCTCACTGGCATCAATGATCAAAAGGCATTCCTTATTCTGTCGAACCCTAAGCATCAAGATATGATACCTATCGTCCATGATATTTCTCAGCTTGAGAATATTTACATCTTCTGCAACAGAGAAGCCCTAATGAACCATTGGAATAAGAATTTGAGCAAAATTAAAGGCATTTACATAGATGCTGCACGTCTCTGTAAAGCACTGCATGACGTCATCCAACAAAGCTACCAGAATGATATCGCAATGAGTTTCATCAGCGTCAATCAAGATAGTCCAAAAATAAGCCTCGATCAACTGGAACCATCATTCATGTACACACAATTGTTTAAAGAAATTGTGCTTGAAACCAATCACACAAAGGAAGACATCAAAGATTTTATTGATTTTTGGCGTAACAAATGTAACGACAATAAGATAATATCGAATACTATCAAAAAGTTCGAGAAGGAATACAGTCCCGAGAAGTCCATTTCGTGGTATATTCATGTGCCTTTCATCTACCAGACTCTCAATTGGTCACTCAGAACATTGGATACTCAAACAATGAAGAAAATCAGCTTCTTTATTCGCGATCTTCACTGCCAGCTCAAACAATTAAACAAAGAACAGTTTACAAAAAAAGACAGTGAATTCTTTGTTGTTTATCGAGGACAAGGATTGCCCAAAGCCGATTTCGAAAGGCTCATAAAAACTAAGGGTAGTCTTCTATCGTTTAATAACTTTTTATCCACTAGTCAAAGTCGCGATACTTCCGCCATGTTCGCCGAAAGTAGCGCTTTAGCATCCAACCTCGTCGGAATTCTTTTCATAATGACCATTGGACCGTCTTTTTCATCAATTCCTTTTGCTAACGTCAAAGCGATGGGCCAGTTTCAAGACGAAGAAGAAATTCTCTTTTCTATGCATACGGTTTTTCGTGTGAACGAAATTAAGCAAGTCCTCAATAGTGCAAACGTATGGGAAGTGCACGTCAGTCTTACCAATGACGATGATCCACAACTATCTGCTCTCACACATTATATACGTCAGGAAATTGAAGGCACTACCTGGAATCGTATGGGTCAATTGATGTACAAGCTCAACAACTACACCACAGCTGAAGAACTTTGTAATCACCTCCTCATCACGCCGTTGACTCACACTACGCGAGCAACTGTATTGAACAACCTTGGAAACATCGAAGATCAACGAGGTGACTACTCAAAAGCACTTTCATCGTACGAAAGATCACTTGAAATCCTCGAAATAGCTCTCCCTCTGAATCATCCTGACTTGGCCCATTCCTACAACAACATCGCTATGGTGTATTCTCACATGGGCGAGTACT